TCTCTTGCCCCCCCCTCTCTCTCTCTCTCTCTCTCTCAAGATCTTCACGATTCTCTCACTCTCATACAGGCCTAATGATTATCGGTCTCGTGCAAAAAATTATGGCTGATTTTAGCAGCGTTCAAAACTCCCATTGTTTGTTGTTAGGCACAAACAGCTCACATCCCCAGAGTCGCATACAGAGAAAAGCAATCATTTGATTTCCAACAACGATCGAAGTAGTACACAACGAAAAAAAAAAGTTCTACTGGCAGTTCGTGTTCAATAAACAGTAACGAGAAAGAGATACAACGTATTTTGTTTTCCAAGAGCTCCACTCAAAACTCTTCAGAAAAAGAAAAAAAATACGACAAACAAAAACGAACAAAAATAACAATAGCAAAAAATAGAAAAGAAAAGACCAATAAACATAATAAAAAATCCCCTGTTGCGATGCAAACTGAGAGAGGATAGAACAAGAACGCAAGCGGGTGGTTGGCGGGTGCTCTGGCGTGGTTTATAAATTGCTCCTTCTTTCCTGTCAAACATCTATCACCTTAATCTCTCCTCCTTTTTTTTTATTTTTGGGGCGTTTGTTACTCTCTTGCAACGCCTCTAATCATCTCAGGCACTTCTTATATAACCGTATTGTGTTGCAAGTGAAGTGCCGAAAAACTCTATTACTCAAACTAACAAGAAGAACGGCGATTCTGAAAGACAACAATCGGAAGCAGCTCAGTGGAAAACAGCTGATGACCGTTGCCCTCATCACAGAACGGCACATCCAATAATTCCAATAATTCCCCGCCCCGTGCGGGACATCCACGCCACAACAGTGTCATGGCAGAAAGCAGCGAGTGTTCGGGGATACCGACAGTTGTGACAACGAGCGCTGCTGGACACTGGGGCAACGCAACTATAATAAATGTATTTGTTGTGGTTGCTGGGTTTTTTTTCTTTTTTGTTTTGTTTTGGTAAGCATTTTACGAGGCTCGCAACTCCATAAGGTCATATGAGAGTGTGGGACACACTAATCAATTTTCAGTTTGGTAGGAATTAATTTTGAATTTTGCCAAAGTGGCGGCCAAAGCCTACTCTTATCTATTTTAGGACCACCAAGGACCTCCAAGATTATATGAGAAGGCAGAGGAGTTTGAACTTAAATACCCTAAGATTAGGGGTGCGGCTGAAAGACAGCAGTAAGAATTAAGGAGCCTGGACTGAATGACAGCAATCGGAAGCTGCTCAGTGGGAAAACAGCTGATACCGTTGCTCTCATCACAGAACGGCACATCCAATAATTCCCCGTCCCGTGCGAGGCATCCACGCCACAACAGTGCCATGGCAGCAAGCAGCGAGCGCTCGGGAATACCGACAGTTGTGACAACGAGCGCTGCTCGACACAGGCACAACGCAACTATACTATAATAAATGTTTGTTTTTGTTTTGTTTTGTTTTGCTCACTTAAGCACTGTATGGGGCTTGTACCTGCATACGGTAATTAATCTGATAGCGCGGGACACAGTATGTATTTTCAGGTTGGTAGGAATTAATTTTGAATTTTGTCCGAGTGGCGGCCAAAGCTTACTCTTATCTATTTTAGGACCACCAAGGGATCTGTAACGTAAGCTATTTGCACATGGGACCTCCAAGATTAATTTTTTTTCGCCCTTATGTGAGGAGGCTGAGGTGTTTGATCCTACATACCCTAAGATTAGGAGTGTAACAGAAAGACAGCAGTAAGAATTAAGGAGCCAGGAGAAACAGTAGAAAGAGTCAGGAGCCCAGAGAAAGAGGGAGAGGGGGGAGAGTAGAAGGTGGAGACGAAAGCAGGTGACAGAACATGATTACACAGCAGGAAAGGAGGTGAAAGGAAAAAGTTTCAGAGGAAAAAGAATTCCGTCGCTGTCAGGTTTCGAACCCGGGACCTATTGAACAAGTGGTGAACACTGTACCTCTAGACCATGACAGCCTCCTAACATAACTAAAGAAATTCCGAGGAATTATGCATACCACAATGGACTAACGATCAGAGTAACAAATTTGAAATTATTAAAATTAATTATTAATGCCTTCAGCTGGCCCTAACAATGGCAGGGAACACGCAGACCTATCCCTCAAATATATCTATTGTGGGGCGATAAACATTTATTTTACGATCAGTAGTATTTGGTGTATGTTTGAATTTGTTTGTACGTTTAAAGAGAAAAAACAAAAAATCCCCCCTTCCTATAAAAAAACAAAAAAACAACAACAACAAACAAACAAAAAACAAACAAAAACAAGCAAAAACAAAAAACTCCAAATAAATTTAAGATTAAAAAAATAA